ATCTTGCACTGTTCCCCAGCCAGCTGCTTGACTTACGATGTTTCTCTTTGCACATGTACAGTATTTATGTAAAGCATTTGTATAGTTTGTATTTTTTAGTTTATGTATAGGTAACCATTTATATATATAGTATATTTATAGTCAAAATCTGTCAGTATGTTAGTTGTGTATAGGTTTATACTGTTTTACTTCATTGTTGTATGTCTGTATTTATGTAGCATTGTGGTCCTGTGAGGTTCCACTGTATGCCCCCACATGTAGCGGAATGACAATAAAGCTCGACTTGACTTGTTATGTTATGGTCGTTTAACAATATGAAATGATTTGCTTGGATCTATCATTCCCTTGGGTGAGGTAAAAGGCCAAGAGAGGTTGATTTGTTTTTTCTTTTATTCGCGCTCTCTTAGTATTCGTCTGAGGAACATCATGTGTTTATATATGTTAAGCCAGAACACATGAACGAGTCAGAACGACATTATAGTCATCACCTCATGTCACACCTGACCTTTTCTGACAGAGAAGAGAGCTTTGAAAGTATCGACAGCAGCGTGTGGCTCAGGACGCTGACATGCATTAGATTGATTTGCCGTGTTTATTAAATACCAGCATTGTGTGTGTAAGAACATGCATACCTGTGTACCGCTGACTGCTTGGTGCTTATATGTACGTGTGTGTGATGACCTCCTATCTGGCTGTTGTATTCAGAGCCCCCAGGTGGTGACTGCAGGGCATGTTCAGAGATGCTGGTGACTACCTGCCTGCACCTGTTCGCCCCTTTCTCCCTCTCTCTCTTTCTCTCTGCTGACAGAGGAGATTTCCTGTGAGCAGATGTTAGCAGGGTCTTTGCACAATAACTGCAGTGATGTGTTTGTTTGGGTCGACAGGCCTCATTCAGTGCACTGCAGCAGGTGTGAAATGATTGGCTGAGATTTCACAAAGGCCTAGCCACAAATAGGTTAGATTCCAGAGACTGATTTACAGACCTGATGAAGGTGATGCAAAATTGTTGCTCAAAAAGCAATTGATTTGGGTCAGAGAAGAATAATATCTACCCAATTATATTATTGGTAATAATGAACTAATAATAGCATAATTTATACATGCAATTCAATTATTTTTTGTTTAATTACAATTTTTGAGAGAGAAAAAGTTTTTATTGAAAACTGCTATGACAAATCATTAATTTTCTGCATTTTCTTTCACATACACTTCTTTTTGAAAGTTTGTAAAGTCTCTTACTGAGGCTGAATTTATTTGATTAAAAAAAAGCAGTAAAAACAGTAATATTATTATATGTTATTACAATTTAAAATAACTTGTTTATTTTAATATATTTTAAAATGTAATTTATTCCTGTGGTGGCAAAGCTGAATTTTCAGCATCAGTGTCACATGATGAAGAAATCATTCTAATTTGCTGATTTGGTTCTTAAGAAACGTATGTCTTATTGTCAGTGTTGAAAACAGTCGTGCTGCTTTAATATTTTAGTTTAAACCCTAATAGTTTTTTTTCTCTCAGTAGTTTTTGATGAATAGAAAGTTCAAAAGAACATCGTTTATTTGAAATATAAATATTTTGTAATATTATAAATGTCTTTAACTTTTGATCAGTTTAATTCACCCTTGCTGAAAAAGAATTAATTTCTTTAAAAAAAATAAAAATAATCTAGCTGACCCCAAACTTTTGAATGGTAAAGTATAACACTTATTTAAAAACAAAAAAAGAACACTATTGTCAAGACCTGGTAATTATTTTTAAGTAACAGTACAACTGCAATCCTAGTTACTATAAGTGAGTTGATTATTTAACCGTAATTTATAGTGCGCCTTCATTATGAAAAGGCTTTTAGTGGCAAGGGTCTTGTTGTCTGTATAAACAGTCCAGCACCTGCTGCAGACCTGCAGGCCTGCACAACAGGCCAAAGCCCAGGGGAGGATCAGCAGGGTTACGAGCGCTGCAGCTCTGAGCCCCAGTGGTTAGTGGGGTTTTAAAGAAAGAGCAGCTCTTGCTCTCTCTTTTCTTTTCCCACCTTCAACCCTCATCTCCATTGCAACTTGTATGCAAGTTTGAGTATCAAATCTGTTCCTCCTTTGCTTCTTGCCTTTCTAAGACAAACATATTACGATCACACTCTCTCTCTCTCTCTCTCTCTTTCTCTCTCTCAAGGCCTGATGTTGTGGTAACGTCTTTTTACTCTTACAAAATCTGAATCAACCGCTCCATCCCTGGAGGATTCTCCCATCCCACAACTCCTTGAGGCTATAGTAGAACGGTGCGGGACAGAATGCCCCCCCCCACCACCACCACCACCATCCCCACCATCCCAGCACACACATTGCAGTCCCCCAGTGCTCCCGGTTGTGTCTCATTAGCAATTGTCTCTATGCACTGTGAGCCTGCTGCCATGGTGGCACACGATAACCGCCTGCAATGAGCAGCAGACCGCAACATTAGTCACGCATCCCAGAAACACACACACACCTCTGCCAAAATAATACCCACCACCACAATAATGATCGGGACGATAACAGATTAAAAAGCGCCGATCGTGATGTGGGGATAGCCCTGATATCTGCCCCAGCCAGGGGTACCTAGGGGCCGTGGGGGCAGGTGTTTCAAGGAAGGGCTGGTTAGCGAGGGTTGGAGACCTCGGGTCCTTCGGGAAACGAGGATTCTAGCGGGGCTTTGGGATTGAATCCTGTTTGTTTTCTTTGGATTTTAACATGAGAGGAATCAGACGGGGTTAAAGGGCTTTGTTGAGCTGTCTCTAGAGATCCAGGCTGTTGAATGTGTCGTTTTAACATGTAACACGCTCACGCCTTTGTTTTTTTTTGTCATAACTGCAGTGCGTTCCACTTATAATGGCGGATTTAAGGTGAAATTACATTTTTCTTTTTCACCCCCAGATTGCCAACATATGTTTAAGTGGGTTGTGATGTATTGCTCATTTCTCCCACTCTGTCCTGTCTATCAACTAATTTTTTTTCCCCAAAAAATTTATACCTACAATGATTTGAATAGACCTATTCTATGAGAAGCGTGCTTTTTCATTTCTGACTTCAAATTGTATTTGTGTGTGTGTGTGTGTGTGTTTGGGAGGGGGGTTACATGTTGTAAAATGTGGTGTAGTCATATTTATGAATTAATTATTCATGATATTTAGAAAAGATACTTAAAATATATTTTAAAACTTTCAGAGCACTTTGCTATAAGGTCTCGTTTGTTAATATTAATGCATTAACTAACAAACAAACATTAATTAAAAACAATAAGCAATATATTTTTACAGCATTTATTAACCTTTCTTAATGTTAGTTAAAAATGTTTGTTCATGTTAGTTCACAGTGCTGTCAGTAAAATGTTGAGATTAATATTAATAAAGGCTGAGGAAGTATTGTTCATTTGTTCATGTTAACTCATGTAGTTATCTTGATGCATGTTTCTTTATCATATATGCTTTTAGGTCCCACTTTATATTAAGTGGCATTAACTATGTGCTTACATTTAAATTAATCATTTGATGCAGTACACTTATTGTGTACATGTTTTACATATACTTATATAAAAAAAAAATACCTGCATGTAAATGAATCTGTAATTAATTTCTGTAATTACATTTATAATTACCCTTACACCTTAACCCACCCTTAAACCTACTCATACCACCAAACCTGTCCCTAACCTTACCCGTATCCCACCTCAATAGCAGCAAAAGTGTTTTGCAATACAATATGAACACAATAATTAAGTACATAGTAGTTAAGGCCACTTACTATAAAGTGGGACTTACTTTGATATGTCATTGACCCACGTACAGGTATGTTTCATCCAGCCTGTAGGAATCTCTGAAAGTTAAGTTACAATCTGTCAAGATGGCTGAAGAGGAGCTACAAATTAGGGCTTTAGACAGCTGATATTGTTCATTTAAACATGTCGGGTCAGTTGGATAAACAGCTATAACTGTTAATATTCACACATAGAGACGCTGAACATCTCTGAGATCAGGCTAAATTTGTTGTCCTCTAGGGACACGCTAATTGCAACTTTGTTTTCAAAAGTTATAATTTAAGAATAAACAGGCCAGAGGCGGTGTGTGTGTGTCTGTACACACTTGTCTTTATTAGCTGTGCGGTTTCCGTACACACACCAGTGAGCTAGCGTCTGCACTAACAATGTTTCTCCCTCTCAGTCTCAAGCAGTGGAACGTGTTCGCTAATTGCGAACTTTATTAGACGTTTCCTATTATTATTGACGTTGCAAATGTTATTCTGAACGCTGCCGTTTCGCTTTCCAGTCTGCTTGGCTTATTGGGCCCAGCACATAATAACACATTTCAATATTGAGGTGATTGGAAGCCGCAGTGAGAAGCTGCTAACACGTGTTCGCTTCCAAGACAATAGTGCTTTTAATTTGCATAATCTGAATACATTTTCTGGCTCAGGTTTTGTTGAAAGTAGACTTAATTGCCTTATTTCCTTTGTGCTTGTGAGTTAATGTGGGACTCGGAGATGTACCAAATGCTGCAGAACCTTTCCTCGGACGTTCTTCAGGCACGCCGCTCCATCGTTAAACATTTCTTGGCCATGTGTGTCTAATTTGTTCTTTTCTTTAATGTCGACCGGCATCAGAAGCTACTTTTAATCAAAAGACTCTGCTCAACTTTTAAGTTAACTGCTCTTTTACTCTGCTGCACCCCCCCCATCCCTCTCTCTTTTTTTATGTTTTTATAGAATAATGTTGATGAATTGCATGCAGAGCGTCTTCGCAGGGCAACGGAACATCTGCGCAGTCCCGTTGTCTTCCACAAGGAGTCTGCAGTTAGGAAAACACAGCTCAAATCATTCAGCCAATACGTAGAGACCAGGCCAGGTGAGGTCCTTTACTTTCGTTGTCACTGACTGCATAAAGTTTATGGAGGATTTTACATTGTTGAACAGTTCAGTAATCATTAAATGAATGTATTTAATGCATAAGCCTGTTGCAGTCAGGTTTATTTTTCTAGTTAAATAGGCTTAATGTGAAGACTTATCTTGAAGTGTCTCAAGAATGCTAACAGTTTAATAACAGCTGTATAAGGTGTTTCTATACACTTTGTGATTTCTTTAATGAAGATGTCCGATCTGTCTGAATGGTTCATCTGATAAAGAAAAATGTCTTCATATTCAGTTATAGTGAGTTTGTGATTGTGCCCAGGTGAGAATGAACTCTATCATCGTTTAATATCTCTCTTTCTCTCGTTTCAGAGGTTAAAAGGCAGAGATCAGTGCCTGAAGATCTAAAGCGGGCACCCGAGGAGAGAGGAGCTTTGACAGAGACAGAAGGACGAAAGCCAACTGAAGATGAAGTATTTAAATGCATATTTAAATTCTCAGTCAGAGCTGTTCTTTCGTACTGATGTTGTCTATGATACCAGGTCATAGTTAGACGTCAAACCTGCACACAGTCACTCACATCTGTCTGAGGGCCAGAGAGGTTTTTTAACACTGATGTCAATCTGTTCTTCCCTAAAGCTGAAGAGAGCAGCCAAGTTAGACTGCTGTTCCCTGATAATTGTAAGATTAGAAAAAAAGGAAATGGACAGAGTAGTAGATATACCTCTTTCACTCCTTTCACTTTCACTATATATATATAATTATCTTTTCTTGTCCCATCTTCGTTTATTCTCTCCATGTAGGCTGATCTAATGAAATTTTAATTATTGTGGCACCATATTTAAGGCCAGAGCAATAGAGAAACATACCCTGGGAAGAGTGAGATAGATAGAGACACAGAAAGAGAGAGAGGGGAAGGTCAGTAGAGACCAGCTTTGCCCCTCTCTGTGTAGGGGTTAATGGGTGTTGAACTTGCCCATTACCCAGCTCAAGCTGAATTACCCAGCGAATGATGTTTGCATTAATATAATATATATGGAAATTTCAACACTTAATTATGGCAGAGAGGCGAGAGCAGAGGGGAGGGGGCTGATCATGTGTAAAATTGATTTGTGGGAGAAGTATTTGATAGAGCAGCAAGGAAGAGGAAGGTGGAGTTTGATGGACAGCAGGAGGACTCAGGCAGAAAAAGTGCTGTCTTGGATGGAAAAAAAACTTTCTTTCCCATTTCCCTCGTTCCTATTATGAAATAAGGTGCATCAGCACTAAATATATATATATTTTTGCAGCAATCTTTAGGATGTGAATTTAAATTAGCACTCTTTTTCCCCGCCCCCTCTATCTCAGAATAGTAGGAAGGATGGAAGGAGGAGAGGACAGAGGGGGGCGATAAACGAGTGGAATAAAGAGGGGGTGGGAGTGCTTGTCACTATCTCACACTCAGAAATAAGCGTGCAGTTTAAATACTCTATTTCTCCCTAGTCACCATCTCATCCCTCACTCCAGTGTTTCCCACAAGCCAGAGGGTGCTGCTGCCACCAGGGCCACGTGTGTGAGAGAAAGGGAGCGTGTTCCCAAATGTGTACATGAGTGAATCTGAGGACACGCATGTGCTGCGTAGATCTCTTAGATCCCTGCTGATAGGCCCTTAGGCACTGACCCACCTCTCCTGTATATTTCAATTTGGTCTCTCTGTGTGTCAGTCTCCAGACTGCTGTAATACTGGATTCTCTCTGAGGTCATTTAGCGTTTTGCGTTTATATTGGTGTGTAAGTGCACCCTCCTGCCTGAGGCTTTACATATGAAGTCAAACCTCAGCATTTAAAGCTACAGTTATTATATACAGAAACAGATATTATTACAGCAGGAACTAAGGCAATAAATAAATTAAAATAAATCTTCAAACCGTGTCAGAAAAATTATCATACAGTAGAATACTTTCATCATACATGTATAATATGTTAATGTAATAAATTCATGCACATAGTCATACCTCTGCATTTAAAGCTACAGTCCGTAACTGCAGAAACAGATATTATTATGCCAGGAATTAAGGCAATAAATATAGAATAAAAAAATAAAGCTTTAAACATAGTCAGAAAACTTTATGGTACAGTAGCTCTGAGTAGTTCTTTTTGATTTGATTTTATAAACATGTACTCCATTTTTAACACAATACTTTTATTTTATGTTAATATATCTAATCTTTTTATTTATTTATTTATCTTTCTTTTTTTTAACTTTTTTAAATATTTTTATTTTTATTAACAAAAAATTATTTATTGAAAATGTTTAACCTCATCTTAGTAATTAGCCTAATTTAGGAATGTTTGTATGTCATTTGTATCACTTTTAAAAATGGACAGCGGTACGTCATTTCCAAAAAAAAAGCAGAAAAAAGGAACATTTCATTTGCTTAATTAATTAAAGCAATATTCACCAGTCATCATTATGACCACTGTTCCCCTGGTATTAAAAAGCTATATAAACCCAGGATGTGATGCTTCATTTCGAACCTCTCATCACTCCCCCTTCCTCTCGTTTGTTCTTGCCCAGCAGAAAGCGTTCAAAGACACCAGTCAGTACGTGGTGGGAGAACTGGCGGCGCTGGAGAGTGAGCAGAGGCAGATCGACACGCGGGCCTCGCGTGTGGAGAAACGTCTGCGCTATCTCATGGACACAGGTACGCCGCCCAATTACACTGTAAACAGTTTTGGCAAATTGAGCGTTCACAAACTCTTATGGAGTTTGGGAAGTGTGAATCTTTGAAGCCGGGATGTTGGGGCGGCAGCGGGGATATGAAAAGGGGCGGTGAGGATGCAGGGAGGCTCTCTGGGCCGCCGTGATAAGAGAGCCTTCATGGGAGCTGATAACTAGTGCTGATAGCGTCCGCCAGCCAGCCACTATTGAACAGTACCGTGCAGCCATGCGCAACAGAACCCCATATCTGGCCTTCAATGATATGCTGTAGAAGAGAGAGAGAAGGAGGGAGAGAGGGGGATACAGCAGAGGGGTAAAGGGTGAAGACGGGAGGAAGAGAAATGGGGAGGGCTGCTGTTTGGGGGCTGGACCGAAAAGGAAATGTTGAAATAATGAAAGACACATATTAATAGATACATGTGTTTGCTCTCCTCCTCCCTCTCTCTCTCCCTCTGTCGCTCTCTCTTCTCCTCGCATATACACATATGAAAGGATGTGGGGCGATCTTTCGGGTGTGTATTGCAGGGAAAAAGGGCTGCGGAGCCTTTGTTAAAACATGGAGCTCCGTTCTGAGACTCCAGCGCCTCAATAACTAAAATTTAAGAAAAGCTTCCTTCCATCCAGATGCTGATACGAAACAATCATTTCTCACAAGGGCAGCATCGGGAAGCGAGGGTTGAAAAAAGGAGGGGAAAGTAGACGGTTGAATTTTTGTGCTTCTCCATCACATTGAGGATGATATCATGACTATCAGAGTTTTGTGTTTGCCCAACCTTCCATCCATCCCTCCCTCGCTCGCTCTCTTCACACTCACCTGGACCCTGTTGAAGTCAAAGCCACTGTGTCTGTTTGAAGGGGGTTTTTTTTCTCGGTCTGAATGATAAATGGCTTGAATGCCCTAGCAGGTGGAGAACCAAACCAGACATTTCGGTAAGATTTGCACACTCACACACAGAAATAAGAGGCACAGTTACACACCAGACCCCATGTACAAGTCTCACCTTAATGTGCTTACCTGTCTGAGCTAGTGCACGCATTTCAGCACTGCAAACAGGTGCATTCACGCCGCTGTCAGGTTCACAGACAACATAGTCTGCCAGAAACAGCCTCTATAGCTAAATATACACAAAACAAATGTCATATGTTATGCTCAGAATACACATATTTAATATAATCATGCTAAGCTGTGTTGCACTGTATTAGTACAAGTATTATAAATAAGTATTGTATATTGTCATAAGTTTTTTAACTACATATTTCTCAGTTTTGATAGCATGTAATTATTTTTTATGTCACTAGAAATTATTCAGATAAATATATATGACATATGAATATATGTGATATGTACAGTTAGGGTTGCGCCCAATATAATAGTAATATATAACTTATGATGTGTGTGTGTGTGTGTGTAGACAGAGAAACCCTGGACCACAAAACCAGTCATAAGGGTATTTTTTTTATGAAACTGAGATTTCTGAAAACATCTGAAAGCTGAATAAATAAGTTTTCCATTAATGTATGGTTTGTTAGGATAGGACAATATTTGGCCGAGATACAACTATTTGAAAATCTGGAATCTGAGGGTGCAGAAAAATCTAAATATTGAGAAAAGTACCTTTAGAGTTGTCCAAATGAAGTCCCTAGCAATGCATATTTGTAATCAAAAATTAAGTTTTGATATATTTACGGTATGAAATATACGGTTACAAAATATCTTCATGGAACATGATCTGGTTTTGTGGTCCAGGGTCACATATTTAGAATATATATTCACAATATGCATACAATGATGACTGCAAACAAATAAGCAAAAGTTAAATAAATATGTGTATGCATATCTGTATGTATGCACACATATAAAGTTATAGTTATATACATATAAAAACTGTATTAAGAACTACTCGTGATCCCTAATACCCCCTCCCCCTCTCATTATACGCTCTGCCTTAGTCTGCTGGTTTTTTGCGTTTGTTTCCCAGATGAATTCACAGTAATTGGGCTGGTTAATTTATTTACTGTGTGCAGTTCACAGCACATTAAAGAATGAAGATAATTGAACACGAATTGTCAAGTGTCTTCTGATATCAGGCGTATTACAGAAGGGAATGCGTATAAAACTCTATTTCCATGCAACCATTGTTTATGGTAATTAAGTACACAGATGTATTCCTTGGTTGCCTTCCAAGCTTATGGCGACTGCCATTGTTGTCTTCTATTAATATGTAATCAGTAAATAGTTTAATTTTCTAATCTGCAGTTGGAGAATTCACTTTCTAACAGCTCTTAATTATGGCAGAGCCCTAATGATGCAGCTGCTGATGGGCTAGGAGGCCGTAAACGGAACGCAGAGTGCTCGGGGGAACACAGAGGCTTGCGGTGGCTCCTGCCTAATGAACTTGTTATTCCCACACCAGAGGGAGCAGTGTCCTTCACACACACTCACTCGCCAGCAGCTCAACCATTACCTCAGTTAGCCCACATCCCCTGGAATTACGTCTAAATATGTTATTGTCACCCGATTTTCTAAACATATCAATTTTGAACGTTTGGCAAAATCAAAAGCGAGAGAGGAGAGCTATTCGCGCACTCGCCATTCTGTCGGAGCACAATACCGTCCCGAATCACATTGAAATTTTTTCAGCATGCAGCATTGAAATGTGTGTAAATGTTATCTGCACGGCTTTTGATATTCAGCAAGCCTCTGAATGCATCTCCCTGACATCTGCTCAGCATGCATTTATGCACACATATGATTTTCAAATTGCTTTATAACCTGCAACAATGAACGCAATTATGAAAATAATGGCATTTAAAGGCGCTCTAAAACCCACACACCTACAGAGTTCTCGATAAGAGATTTTTTAAAAAGCACAGAGGAAAAGAATGAGTTTTAGGTGAGATTAACATATGTTTAAAAATTGCACTTGAGTCTGATAAGATTGACACAGGTTTTATTGCATGCTAATCCGTTCTCTTTTTCTCCGCCGCGGTCACAGAAATTCATACAAGACGGATATCATCAGCTTAATGCAGTTTACAGACAAGCCATCACAGTAGTCTGTGCCGGAAAAACAGACGCACAGTGGTGTCAGAAGAGGCCCGTTATGTTTGTTTTATTCACGGAGACGTGGCCGTCCTCTTCCGGGCTTCTTAACGGATGTGCACCCTTTTATATTTCAGTCTCAAAACGTCAGTCCTATTTTTTTTTTGTCGCTTTTCCCTCCTCAGTTTTCCCACATTAATTCACCATGCCCACATTCCAAGGCAGTGTTGGCCATGCAGAAATAATTGCTTGAGTGTCTGCGTTTATAGATCTCAGCTCCGCCAAGACTGAAATGGAATTGCTTGTGTGGCTAAGGCAACATGCTTGTAACCAGCCCCTTAGTTTGACTAAAGATTTAAGCTTGGCTACGTGAGTCGCATGGGGAAATGGTCTCCGAGCTCAGACAACAGCTAACAGCTAACACCGCTTTAAGTATATTATCAGGCAAGTTCTTTCAGAAACGTATTGCTAAAGAAGCTTAACATTAATTATTGTAACTTTGGGAAGATTACATCCACAGCATGCTTGTAAGCGGTGGCATAGTCCTCTTGACCTCCTATGCAAGAGCTTAAAGACACTAGAATGGCATTTCAGCTGCATTAATAGGATAACCAGTATAATCTTTCCGCAGTAAGAGAAGGAAAAGTGTTTAGAGCATAATACTCGCCCCGGTTCTGGGGACGAGACGGGTTTTGTGATGTCTCTCGCAATCGGCACGCACCGGGCTTTATCGGTGTAATCGCAAACTCTTTTTCTCTCCCTCTCTGCTGTTCTCTTTCTCCTGTTGTCTTTCTTTCAATTCTCTTTTTTTTCCCTCTTCTCCCTCTGTCCTATTCTTTCTCCTCCATGGGATTTGCATGCTAGTTCAGTAGCTTGTCCACTCTAATTTTAAAGACCAAAGACCTCGTTTAGCCTTCCTGCTAAGCGTGCACTGTGAGTAACGGAAAAGTAAGCCTGGAGACAAACGCAGGAATTCGGCTCATAAGGATGGCTTTTATCGGCATGACCAAAGGCCAGCGCTGGATCAGGAGGTGACCGCCTATTCAGGTTTAGTGCTGGACTATGTGCTCGACTTCAAGAGCTGGTTAACATCAGAATGGTCCATTTTCAGCTGCTGGCTTTTGCGGCCTTTGTTCTTCCCGCTGGTTTTAATTCTCACCGGACCGTTACGCACGCAGCGTAGATCGCCTTTGTGAAGTCACGTATTCTCGCTACCTAATATAAACAGGTTAGACTTTTAGCCTCAATTAATGCATGTTGTAAGACATTAGCACTAGTCTTGCATTTGTCCAGTTTATTGCAATGGTCTCTGGAAGCGAGAAGGAAAACGCCTCACATCAGCCCTTTTTAATCTCCGAGGCCGTTTGAATGTTCGAGAGGCAAAAACAATTTAATTAGTTAAGTTGCATTGACTTCGCATTCAAACCCCCAACCAGCAAGCCCTCCATCCGAAAGCTTTTCCCAGATGTGAAGAGGGTTTTTTTTGGTCTGGTGTCAGGCTTTCAAACATTCTTTTAACAGTTGGATGAAAGGGGATTTTAAGGAAGATTAGAGAAGGGGAATCCTCCAGGCATTGTCTGAGAATCTTAAGATAAAACGCACGGGGTGGATAGTGTCTGCGGAGGGGGGCGTCGGGGGGAAGGGTTTGTTGGTTGCGGGAGATACGGCCTGCATTGAGAGACATGTCATTTAGATTTTCCCTTTATTGAAGCATCTTGAGGCCTTTTCATCTTTCCCCCCCTTTGACTGCCATTCCTGTAAGACCCAGCCAAAAGCAGCTAGTGCCGTGCCACTGCGGCTTCATACGCGCGGAAAAACAGAGAGCCGCTCTCCACAACGCCAGCCAAGACCTCAATGATCTGCTGGGCTTTTTTTTTTTTTTTTTTTTTTATTTTTTGTTGTGTTTTTGTGGCACTGGTGTCTGTCTTTTTTCTTTTTTA